GGATGATTCAGATCGGTTTTCTATTCGGTGAAAGTTCGCGCGAAATTCATGGACGAACGAGCGTTGGACGATTGATTGGAATTGTTCGGCTGGTTAAATGGGGAGATAATCGCAATGGGGAGAAGATCTCGCTTGGAAGAGAAATAAATTAACAAGCTAGGCTGGTTGACAACGTTTTCAAACGTTGAAAATTTCTCTTAAGCTATTTCGACTCGGGCGTGCAATTTGCATTCGAGTTATTAGATGATGTTTCGTTTTATCCGGTGTCCTTGAAACTCGTCCGCTTGTTCCTTCAAAAAATCAAGATAAGAATCGAGAGAAAGGGATGGTCTCTCGACACTTAATCGTGCGCGACACTTAATCCCTCCTCTTTTTCTTTTTTTCTTTCTTTCTTCCCCCTTCGTACATCAACGTAATCGTACTAATTGTTGGCCGAAACAATGGCCGGTTGCGGGAGAGAAGCAATTTAATATCAGAAGGTCGGCGGGGATATTACCGAAACCAGATGGAGGCGGTTTGCATTATTGGGAGGATTACGAAAAGAAAGTTGGCTCGATAGGATCTACACGGATTCATTGTCAGTTGTGGAGGTCGTGGCGAGAAGTGTGCGAGGGTTCAACAACGATGGCCGCTTGTTGCGGCTTTGTGGTTTCCTCTAATTCGAGGGGAGACGAGAATAAATTAATTTTATTTAGCGCGAACAAGGGAGTTCGAAAAATTTGAAGATAAACAAAGATGATCGAATTTTCGAACGATTAAGAAAATTGTTTGCAATATTTTTTTTATTCTCTTATAAATCTGACTAACTAAAAACTGTTTTTCGTGTTACGAATTTCGAGTGTACAACTCTTTCACTTTCACCGTTTGAATAACGATAGAATAATTTTAAAGGATTAACATATATTCGTAATCCTACCATCTTCGATTGCTGTGTAACACTTTTTCTTTCACAGAGGTTACGAGTTCTCTCCGTAAGTTTTTTTTCTTTTTTTTTTTTGTAGTTTTATCGATATTAAAAAAGACAGATTGACAGGTATAATTCTTTAAGAACGTATAGCGCGTGCTCCTCGAATAGAATATTCTTAACCTTATTTAACATTGCCGCTTATTTTACTCGATCGAATCCCGTTTGGAATTGTTTAATGTCTCGTGTTCCAACATAATTACACGTTATTGATCACACCGATCCATAAATTCTTTAGACATTTAGTAGAGTTTCGTATCGGTTGGAAAGAAAATTATTACGATTTCCCGGATATAATAGCGCAATTGAGATGTAATCAAATGTGCTATTGAATCGCGTTTTATATTCGAAGCTATATATATATATATATATATATATATATATATATATATATATATATCGTTCATATCGATCATTTGATACGATCAATTTCATCCGCGCGATTAAATCCTTAACTCGATCATCGTCTCGCGAGAAAGAAAAAAAAGAAAAGAAAAGAAACTCGAAAGCAATATAAATCTCTTTATATGGAAGGTGTTGTATGGATATTGCATGATATTTTCCACGATGGAGTTAAAAGGGTAATCACGATTGCGAGCGTATCGATCATCGGTCACTCTATAAATCATCAGAGCATAATTACCGCCTCGTGATATTAGCTTGGAGAAAAAGAAAAACGTTCCTCCTACCGAGGCGAGAGGGTAGCCTTTTGAAATCCACGTGGTCGGTGCTCGTGACGAGCGTCGTTCCATTAAGGATCTGTCTTTATGACCAAGTTGATTCGTCGTCGTCGACAACGAATCAGGTGCGTTTGCAAATTACAAATTAGCTTTTACCAGAGTGTTAGCAACTTCATTGTATTTATATCGTCTGTGGCAATAATCTCGATAAAAATGTCAATTTTACCTTCACCTGTGTTAAAGGATTGGTGATCAGATGCGAGAGAAAATTGCGAATTATTTACTTTTTTTGTGCGTTTTTCTTTATAAGATTTTTTTTTTTTTTTAATGTTCACTTCACTTCCAATCCATTCGATTAAATCTTACGATTATTCGCGAATTTTTAAAATTTCGTTACGACGAATCATTTTCTTGGGATATTTCGATTTTTTTTTTTTTTTTTTTGATGGAAGAGATGAAAGCAAAGGGTAGTGGTGAGTAGAAGGAGGAGGGAAAAATTGGCGATTGAAATTGGCGGGCCTAGCGAAATTGCAAATTGCCGCACGTACTATCGCAGAAGCGCAGCATACGAGCAGCTGCGGACCGGAACAAATTAGCTGAGCTTTTGTATTTAACTAGCCGTATCAAAGCGTTAAACGCTGTATCTAGCCGGATTTGTAAACAGTACAAACGGATTGCATCTGAAGATAATTTCTGAAGATCGAAGATAGGGATGGAGCGGCCTATAGTTCAACCGGTAGTCGTCAATCATTGCCAGACTTTCGATAGAACGAAATCCTATTCGTGGAATGGAAGTTCTCCCCGACAGATGAGCAAGATCTTCTGTTAACCATTGACCGGCTATTATTTCACAAGCCTTTTTTTTTTTTCCTCCCCTCTAACTCTCTCCTTACACTCTTATCGATCCTGTATCGTGTATTCGCGCATCTTAATATCGATATTAATTATTCTCGATCGATGTCGAACAATCGTTAAGAAGATAGATATTTTCTATTGTTGAATTTCTATTGTTTATTAATCCTTGTAATATTGCAATTTATATTTTAATTCCAGGCGGATGGGTATATGGATCAGTATGATAACGAAGAATTTTCTTTTTTAATAATATTATAAAATATTATAAATATATATATATAATTAGATTGGATAAAACAAATTGAAATAAAAAGCTCTGTTTCATAGTTGAAATATTATAACGTGTATTTTATATTGTATGTGTTTTATATCTTATGTATATTTATGAATTTTTCACATGTGCATAAATTTCCACAATTTAATAATAACGTTTATCGCATTGAAAAACGTAAAATTCTTCGTTTCCAATCAGATCCCAGAATTCGATGCTTCAAGAATTTTTTTCTTCTTAATTTCAGACAATACCGATTAATTTAATATTATTTATCGCAACGATTCGATATTTATAACACATTCAAACAAAAAAACAACGTAACAGATACTTTTGCATCGAAATGACGCTGCAGATCCATCGCGCGAGGATTAATTAATTATCGTTTCGCATCGATTATTTTCCCTTGCTTGCGCACAACTATTCGCGTAAAAAAAAAAAAAAAAAAAAAAAAAATTCGAGGAAAAATCGAGAATAGACGTTAACGTAGCTACGAAAAAGAAAAAAAGAACAGCCTAATTTATGCGCGAACAACGACGCATAAATTAAAGCCGATAATCGAGAGACGCCGCGATGACTTGACGTGCGGTCGAATGCATCGAGTCACGATGGTCGAACAGCCACTGATCTCGCTACTCGCGAGCACAATAGCGTTGCCGCGTTGTGGCATTGGGAGAGTTATGAATGAAATGTAGTGCAACGACATTGGCGAGCGAGTGGCAAGATCAATGAAACTCGGCGCCACGCATCGATCACAGCCGAGACGCGGCGTTCTATCGCATATTATTACACTCGGTCGTATGCACGATCGTGATTCGTTTGGATTCGCGTATACGTACGGCGCATTCGAAATATAACCGAAAGCAAGGTGTAATGACCCTGAAAGAACCGCCTTTCCACTCGACACTTGTGGGTGGCACCAGAACGTAGCTGGTTTATAAACTGGTTATTTTTGGATATTCTAATATCTCTAGGAATCGATATTGACTCGTAATAAGAATTATAATAGAAAGAAATTAATGGAAAGAAAGAGAAAAATTTTCTGAGGATGCGGTAATATCGGTTGTGTGATTTTCTATTTGCAGTCGATTCGACGTATTGCCTTTATTTCGCAATTCGTTGGTACTTCGTCGCGACGTGGCATGAATCTCGCTTTCATCCAAGACAACTGACGCAGGTGTTAAACGCCTATCATCGCTATATTTACGTGATGGCTACTAGTGCGGGGGATTATCGAGCCAAAAATGGCTTGCTCGAGTCTCGATCAAGATCGATGATCAATTTCTTTTTTTAAACGAAAAAAAATGTGAAAATTTTTAATTATCGAAATTGTTGATTTCGTTCGTGATCGATGAAAAGAAAATTGTAAAGCGATTGAAAAGTTTGTTTCACGTATTTTTAAATTATTGTATTGTAATTATAATATATGATCGAAAATGAATCAGAATCGAAGATTTTCGTTCCAAACGAAAGGATATCAATGCACAATTTTCAATTAATACGTAAAGTTTCCGAATTATTTTGTACAACGTTAAAAGTGAAGAGACACGTTTTCCATCGAAATATGATCATAGAATCACGTTATGTATCGACGTTATAAAAATCATATGCGGCATACCGGTGTGAATACAGTTGAAACTTTAATTAAAAGTTTATTAATTATTAATTAACGAAATTTTTCGAATATAATTCGCACAAATAATTTGTGACCACCGCAAAACGGAACGAAACGGTAACGAAATTCTATTCAATTTTTAATCATGTTTCGCAATTGATCAAAACTTTACAAAATTAATCAGTTTTATCCGATTCGAAACGGAAATTCAATATATCGCCTATCGATAAAATTAAAATATTTTTACATCCAGCTCACGGTCAACTTCAATCTCTGTTGTCAATTTAAATCAAATTTTGTTCAAATCGATATAATTTATCCGAATAAAACCACTGATAGATAAAAAAAAAAAAAAAAACTGAGCAATCCACTTCAATTTCTATTTAACAATTTCTATATAACACACTTGTTCCTCCTATCACACCGATCCTCTCATCCTTCTAACTCGAAAAAAAAATTCACTGACTCGAAAAATCCAAAATCCAAGAAAAAGTTAAAAAAGAAAAGAAAAGAAAAAAGAAGAAAAATAAAAAAACGAAAAGAAAAAAAAACAAAATAAAAGAAAAAAAAATGTCGGTCGCACTCGTGGTCCTTCGTGGTATATAGGGCACGTACCAGGGTGAAGAAAGCGGCGCGCACACGGCCAAACATCCTGCCACCGTTCGCTTCCGTTCAGCAAGCCATCGTCCCAAAGATCTCGATCCCGTGCAAGATGATGATCTCTTCGGATTCGTACACGCAGTGTGCCGTTCGAACTGAAAGACTGAAGACGTAGCCGGCAGAAGAAGGCTTATATACAGGGTGGGGGTCGGCAAGAGCAACCGACCAACTTGGTGCCCATCCTTCTTGGTGTCTTCTCTTTTCCCCATTCTTCTCCGTTTCGACTCCTTCAGGGATAATTCTTGCGTGCCCCCCACCCCACCTCCCATCCCCATTATCGTACCGTGGTGTCGTGATCCTTGTTCGTCTTGGACCTTCGTCTTGGACCCTTCCGCTCGGCCGAGGAACGAGTCGTGGTACGTGGTACGTGGATCGTTCCACTCTTCGTTATGGTTATGCGGTATGACGATGAGTTTGGTAAAGCTTCTCCTCTCTTTTTTCTCCTCTTTCCTTTTCTTTTCCTTTTCTTATTTTTTTTTTCTTCTTCTTCTTCTTTTTCAAGGGAGAGCTCCCTTGTTGGGCTTCTTATTTGGTTACTCGGTGAGTCAAAAAAAAAAAAAAAAAAAAAAAAAAAAAAAGAAAAGAGAAGAAAGAGGAGACGGGTGGTTGTTAACCGGAACGAGGAGGAGGTGTGCTATGGATGAATGATCGATGGGTATCGGGGGAACGTAAATTCATCGATATGTTTTATTTTTATTTCGATGGTTTTCATTATTTTTGCTGCGGAGGATGGGACGTGGTGGGTGGGTAACAAGAGGTTTCATTCGCGATTCACCTTGGGGGAACGGGTTACCCTCTTTTCGAGGAACGATCCATTCTCTCGATATTTTATTTTTTTTTCTTCTATCGTTTCTTTTTTTTTTTTTTTTTTCGCTTCTCAAGTATAAAATTATACCAATCATCACCAGCTTAAATCGCTGCGAAAGATATAATTTATCGTCGCTATATTTATTAAATATATATATATCGTTGAAAATAACGAGACGAAAAAATTCATCGTATCCGGAACGATTCGAAATTCTTTTCGGGATCATCGCGTAAGATTCGTGATTCGATCCGTGACGCGTGGCCTTTCCAGCCATTCGCAAGGACTGTGCAGGTATTTCGCAGGTGGGACGAGGCGCGACGGTGAATCATCTCGTTAAGGATTCTCGAGAAATTCATTTCTCGTGTCCGATTCATCGTTCGTTTCATTTCGTAGGTAAACGCGATTGGGGAAGGCCGTGGAGGATTCACGACCAATAAACGGGAACGGGATCCTTTCTCACCGCGATCCACGACACTTTATACAGTCGTTGTTTTGCGCCTTTTATTTTCGCGCGCAGCTGCAATTTCTGCATTGCAATCGTCTCGCTTCACGCTCGAGGTTAATTCGAGGTTAAATGGGACAAAAACTAATCCAAATGCTGTGGATTTATTATAGAACAAACGATCAATCAGATTGAGACGTGTAAGTATCGTGTCTCTATCCCGAGAGATCCTGTTGAATTTCTATAAAAGGATTCGTAGCTTTGTAACAATTCAATCGTTTCAACAGATCTTTTTTTTTTTTTCCGTTCCGCGTTCGGATAAAAAAATGAACGTGAAGGCAAAAGTGGCGCCAAATGCCATGTTGGGTCTCTTTCGAGGCCTTGGACGAAATTAACGGTGATTTCTTGGAGATCAAGATTAGTCGTGTTTAAACAGAAACGTTCGGATTGGAAGTGGAAGTAGGAAGTCGTTTAAAGGTCTGTTGATTCCAGATTCAATAATGCTCTTTTAACTTCTCTTCTTTCAAAATTTTGTTGAATGCGTTGAATATCGTGGAAATATTAACTCGAAGAGAATTATCGTATTTGCGTTGAAATACAAATGCATTTATACAAATGTATCGAAATCTATTGCGGTTCATCAGTGAAAACGCGCTCTACTAGTGAATACGAATTTTCCATCGTTGTTATTATTACACGTAACGTATATTATCATCGCTATACTCCAACGGTAATAAAATAAATCTTCCGTTCTTTCGAACAATAACATTCTAATATAGAAAATATATCCTCGTGAAAATTTTTTTTATTAAATGTTAAGCTTCTTAAAATTCTAACGCAGCGACTTTTAGTAATATTTTAACGGAATAAGTGTTTCGTTCTGTCGAGCAACGAAATTATTGTTAAAAAAATATCCTAGAAAAGAAAGAATCTCTCATTGAAAATTTTAAAAAGCTTCTTTAAAAAACGTAGTGATTCGTTGCATTGCATAGGATCCGTCGATATATCAACGGTATTACCCGTAACGATGGGGAAAGCTCGACGCTGGTATTTCTTACGTAGCGTAGTATGAACTTCAATTAGCGAGTCAAGAGTCGCGAATATTACGCGCCGGTTGCAAGTCGGTTTGATGTAACGAACGGAATAACGTTCGAAGGAGAAGAGCGGAGCGGAGTACGCGCCTTGCATAACTCGAATTTCAGGCGTAAACCTTGACTTTAAAACTGGCCGGTGCCTGTTGCACTTTCTTCGCACATCGGACACGCTTTCCTCCACGCGTTATCGATTATACGATGTTTCCATTTCACACGAATTTTTCGATTTTACGATCGATGAGATCGAAACGATCCTCGAAGTTACGTGCATCGTCGTACGTCACGTACGATCTTTTTGTAAAAAAAAAAAAAAAAAAAGAATTTGATGTTAAACGAGAAAGGGAAAAAAAAGAAAAAGGAAAAAAAAAGAAAAAATATGTCTTTTTAAATGCGATTCAAAGTAAATGTTACATCGATATTTAAACAAAAAGGATTTGTTGCTCGAATGTGAAGAGAAACAATATCCATTCATCATAGTTTCATATTATATAGAAGAGGATATATTGGAAGAAGAAGGCAATAAAGGAGTTTCTAAACGACGTTTTAGGGCTTGCAATTTTCTCTGTCTCGAAATATATCCACCACCAATTCTTTCTTTTCTTCCATTTGTATTTTCAATTTCGAAAAATTACATTCCCGTCATTTGCTGTTTCGCAAAAATTTATGCCGCGAATTTGCGTTAAAGTTCGATCAAACTTGGAAAAGAAGAGGCAAGCGGTATTTTCTAAATTTAGCATTAAAAATTTCCATCATAACAATTTTCAATGTATTTAAAGTACACTTTTCTTTTTTTTGCCTCTCCCCTTTTAAACTTTTAAACTTTATCTTTTACCAATCGTTATTAGAATTCCTCTTCCTCTCCATTTATTCGACGACCGTGAAATTAGATAATTGGTTATTCCGGACAGAGAATTTCTCCGAGAGTGGCATTTTTTTTTTCTGTCTTTCTTTCTTTCTTTCTTTCTTTCTTTCTTTTTTTTTTTTTTTTTGAAAGTTTTCGAATAAAATCTACATCGATTCGTGCAACTTTTCGAAACTAAAAGAATTTATGAATATGATTAAAAAGAAGTATCGAATATATCATAACGTAACATAATTATCCAATAAAAATTTAAAAATGGCGAAAAAATTCACTTATCGATCACGCAAAGACGCTAAATATCTACTTGAAATGCTAATCGCGATGCTAACACCATTACACGGATAGCTTCGCAACAAATTCACCATTAATCCGGCAACACCATATTTTCACTTTCGTACTTTTCCCTCTTCCTATTCTCACTTTTCGACTCAACTTTCATTTTTTTTTTCCTTTTTTTTTATCGTTAAATTAAATAAATCTTCGTCTCTTAAAAAACATAACTCCATAACTTCTGTTGTATCGATATACTATTATATAATTAACTTCTCGCCAATTTACCAATTTATTCTCCTTATCTCAAAAACTCTCTCTCTCTTTCTCTCTCTTTCTGATACAAATAATATATGTATATATACGCACTTACCACTTACTTTTCTCACTAGAACTACGAATCTAGAAACCATACAGACACGGTACACAGAATTTTCCCTATTATCCCATCACACCTACGTCACACCTTGTATTTGCATCCCCTCCCCATTGTTTATTTTGGAAACGTACAACCTATACAAATGTACAAACTACCCGACATTTAGCATAATAACGTTACCAACGGCATCGGGTCAGCAAAACCAGGTAGCCAAATTCACGTTGTCCCACATTTCGATATTCGCATTATCATTCGACCTTACTCGAGCTCGATTGTCACGATCCCGAGAAAGACAGCTGGATAGCGCGGCTTCGTCGAACGAAGCCTCGTCTCTCGAAAAGTTTCCATTACTTTTTTACTCCCTCTCCCTCCCCCTTCGATTCGATGATCACCGATTCTTTTCGCTGTGCCGTAAAATCGACGATTCTTTTTTTCTTTTTTCTTTCTTTCTTTCTTTCTTTCTTTCTTTTTTTTTTTTTTTAACGTATACTGACGCGTTACAGATTTCGTCCATCCTCGTTTCCCGACCGAGTGTACATCGCGTACACGGAGAAAATCCTTCTCCGACCGTTCTAATTTCCCTCTAGTGATTTCGACCCGGCAAAATTATCGGAAATCCTGGCCCGAATACGATTATCCGTTGGCGTGTCGCTTTGCACGCTGCTCCGCACTTGCCAGGTTTGAGTTAAGGGGGGTAATTCAAAGAAGGGGGAGGGGGAGTAATAGGGAAATGGAAGCTTTGTGCGAGATTGTACGCTCGTATGAGGGTATCGTGATCGTGCGATTAATAGAGGGGGGGGGGGGGAATATCGAGGAATTATTTACAATTGGTATACATATATATATATTTTTCATTTTGGAATTTTCTTGTCTTGTAATTAAAATAATTTAAATATATATGTATGATAGATAATAATATATTGTTAATTCGTTTCTCGAGTTTTTTTTCATGTTTCTTTCTAATTAATTAATTGCAGTTATTGAATATTGAATAATAACAATAATTATCGCGAGATTATTATTACAATAAGAAGACAAAGTATTGCACTTTATAATCTCTTTGAACTTTGAATAATCATTCGTTGAGTCGGATACGTCTGGAAATAAAGTCGAATAATTAACTCGAAATTTAATTATTCTATAACGTAATATAGTAACGGGCTGACAGTTTCAATTTGCGAGTAATGAGATACG